AGGTGCGCTCAGGTGAGGCTGAGACAGTGTTGTCTGTGGATACCATGCGGAGCGTCCGTCCCCCACCCAGCGGTCCTCATTGCTCTAGACTAGCCAAAGGCTGGGCGTGTCAGTGATGGTGACAGTTAATTCAATAAGTTTGCTCGAGTACCTACTATGGGCCCAGCATTATTTTAGTTGCTGAATATTACATAATAATGGGAAACATTAAGAAATCACTGGATGTGTGCATCACCACCCAAAATCCAATGAGAAGTTATTATGGTTACCATCATCCCCTTTTGGAGGCCGGGACAATAAGACAGGGAGGTGACCTGCCGAAAGTCACATGGACAGGAAGTGGCAGATCAAGGGGGAGACCCAGGTGGTCTGACTGGATTTGGACCCATACTCTGCTGCCTGCTCAGAAAGGGGGGTACTGAGAGGATGAGGTCTGCCTCTACCCCTACCCCCAGCCCCTGCCGCCAGGAGGGTGGAGCTCTTGGCCAGAGCAGGGAGGGAGCCGGAGCAGTTCCCAGGAATGTGGGGCCGTTTGCTTTGGCAGCGGATCTGCCCTCAACTCTCCAAGCCTCCCTGTGGGCGCCCCCCGCCCCCAGCTGGCCCCTCCAGTGCCCACCCACTGCCTGCTGCCCCTCCTAGCTTCTGTACCTAGCTCCCACAAACCACTGGGTGGGGAGGGGGTGCCAAGCTGGACCCTTTTTGCCTGCCCTCCCCTCCCAACATCCATGGGCAAAGGAAAGGCTGATAGTGAACATGGCTTCTGGACTCACCTGGGCTTGAAATCCAGTTCGGCCACAGACAAGCTGTGTGATCTTGGATGGGTTGCTTAATCTCCCTGAGCCTCAGTTTTTACATTTGTAAAATAGGGGTGGCCAGAACCTGCCTTAACAGGTGCTGGCTCTTCGTCTGACTGTCTGTCAGACTGGCTGTTGGTCCTGTTGTCATGTAACCTTCACCCAAGCCTTCCAGTGGGCTTGCTCCCCACTCCAGCCCTCAGCTTCCCCATCTGTGAGAACTGCATGTTGGTAGCAATCATCCCAGGCACCAAACACCCCAGCACCCACAGAGCACAGGGGAGGCTGGGGACTTACGTCCCCTTTCCATGCCATATCAAGAAAGCCACTGGGCTTTTGCAAGGTGCATCTTAGACCCCTGTCCCCAAGTCCTAGGCCAGATGGGCCATGGCTGACCAAGGGGCAGTATCAGGACCACAGGGGCAGTAAGGGGTGTCCCTTACATGGCCCCATGCTGCTGTGGGGTGGGCAGGGAGAGCTCCCATCTTACAGAGAGTCCTGTCCTCTCTGCTTCGGGCAAGGAGCCCCTGAGTGTTTCTCAGGGTGGATATGCCTAGCTGCCCCCTCCACCTACACAGGCTGCCCTCCAATCCCTGGGCCAGCCGGCTGACCTCCTCCAGGCAGGGAAGGAGAGGCTTTATCCAGAGCGGAGTCCAGCCCACTCCCCCGAGCCTGGTGACTTCGAACCTCAGTTTCCCCATGTGTACGACAGGGGCAACGACGGCATCTCCTCCCAGTAGGGGTTTTACAGGGCTCAGAGAATTCTTGGACAGCCGGTGCTTGGCACAGGGTAGTGCTGGACGCCTGCTCACCGCCCCCCGCCGCGTCGGGTATGCGTCCCACCCCACTACACAGCACCCTGGCGCGGTCGGTAGCGGTCCCGGCCTCGGTTTCCCAGGCCCCCCGCGCTCGCCCCGCGCTCGCCCCGCCCGCCGCGGGTGGGCTCGGCCGCCAGGTAGGCCGGGCGGGGGCGCTCGCCGGGCGCTGCAGCTGGGGGCCGTCTGCGCGCCGCGGGGCGGGCGCACAATAGCCGCCATTGTCTGGGCCCGGCCGGCGGGGCGGGCGCGGCGGGCGGGGGCCGGGCCCTGGGGGGCCAGCGCGGCCCACCCTCGGGGTGACCCCCCCGCCCCGCGGGGAGGCCGGCCGCGGTCCCGCGCCCGCCCTGCCGCCCCGGTGGTCCCCGCGCCGCCCCGCTTCCTCCCGCTCCCTGGGCTCTAATTAGTTCCTTTCGCAGCTGGAGTAGCGGCGCGGCGCCCGGCAGCGCGACCACCTCGGCGCCGCCTCCCCGCCCGCCCGCCTGCGGCGAGGGGTCGCGCCCGGCCGCGGGCTCTGCTGCCGCTTCCGAAGCTCGCCTGCCCCCTAGGAGCCACGCGCGGCACCCTTCTGGGCGGCCCTCGCCGGCTCTGGGAAACGCGACGCCCGAGTGTCCTCCCTCCTGCCCGCCTGGGTGTCGGGAGCGTCGAATCCGGTGACGGGCCTGCCGCCTTCTCTTGTGAGCCTCCGAGGCCCAGGAGAGTGCCACCCTGGCTGTCGCCGTCCTCCCTTCACCCAGCCGCGGAACAAAGAGCAGAGCCCGGTTCAGAAATGGCTTCTGCAAGCTTGGGGGTGGGGAGTGGAAGGAGACATCTTGAGGTTGGCCAGGGTCAGGACAGGAGAGAGGTCATGGGGGGTCTTCACGTTGGTGTGGGGCCCCCTTCTGGAGGACAGTTCTGGGTGGGGCCAGGCTGGGGTTGGGAGATGCTGAGAGCAGCAGGCTTTTGGGCTGGATTCTTCCTCCTTTCCCAAAGGAGTGGGGGTGGCTGGGTCTCTGGACTGGGTTCTGGGTTCTTTGTGGGAATGAATCCCTGCTTCCTTGGGCAGAACCCAGTGACAGGAAGTGTGTATGTATGTGTTTGGGAGAGGTTCTCTGGGGACTGGGCCTGCTGATTAAGGGGGGGTGCTGGAGTCCCCACTCCCACCTGGGTACTGTGCCTACCCCTCCTGGCAAACAGGTTCCTCTTGGAGGGGGGGCTCCCTAGTTGTATGTTGAGGCATGTCTCCTGCAGGTCTTAAGAACAAGATGACCCCGTGTCTAGGGCTCCTCCCTGGACCCCTTCTGGCCTAGGGCAGAGGGCAGTAAGGAAGATGCCAAAGGATGTTACCTGGGCAGGGTTGCCAAAGCATCAATTTGAATTCCCAGTTCCCAGACCATCCAGCACACATGGTCCCCTTCTCTGGAAGGTCCAGTTGGGGGTGGAGGCTGGAGGCTGTGGGGAGGCCTATGGCCCTAGGCCAGCTGAGGGACCAGGCCACCAGCCCTTCCTGGCTCCTGAATTCTTAATCAGCATAAATATTTACTTCCTTCCTCCCCTCCCAGGCTCCCAGCGCAGAGGAGCTTCAGGGAGGTTGGACTGGGCCTGTGTCTAAAAATAAACAGGTGGAGGGACAGGCAGACAGACAGACATAACTGGGGGAGGGGGGTCAGGCAGAGGGCAGCTCCCTGCCCAGCCAGAGGAGAGTGGAAGGGGCCCAGGTCCATCCATCACTGTCACCCACCCACCTGCCTGCCTGCCTTGGGTCTGGAGCTCCTAAAGGACAGGGTAGCAGCCTGATCCCAGCCCCACTTACCTCACTGGGAGCCCCTGGCCCATGCTCGGCCTGGCAGTGGATCCAAACAGATCTGACTGGTCCCACCTGATGCAGTTTAACTGGGACAAGTCAGGTCACAGACTGGGTCCCACAAACAAGAGTGGCTGCCTCTCCTTGGGCTCCGATATTTAGCCATGTGCTGGTAGGGTCTTGGGATGTCCTCAAAGCAGAGGGTCCTAATTGAGGTAGGGGACTGCCTTGTTCCCTGTGTGCCTGAAGGGTCTTGGCAGAAGGAGAGCTTGTCAAGGGAGATGGATGGGCCAGGACTTGGGACCAGAGAAGATTGTCCAAAGTTGCTGAGGTGCATGGCCTGGAGGAAAGATGAGTGGGGATGTGAGGGCTGTCCTCCTCCTTTGGGCTCTGTTAAGCACATACGTGGGCAACTCTGGTTCCCAGAGAGAGAGAGAGAGAGAGGCACGTGTGCACACATGTACACACACACAAACACACACACGCACAGCTGAAATGTATGGTCATGTGCCATGTGGTGGTTCTGGGGTGTTCTGTATTAAATTATGAAAACGTGCATTTGGTGAATGATGTGGAGTATCTCATAGTGTTGGCTTGTTCAACAGATAGATTTTCAAGGTGTAATCACCTCAATTAGCAAATGCAAGGACACACTTCGACCACATGTGGAAAGGTTGCCCCTGGAAAAAGTTGGAGGTTGGAATAGAGTTGACCTTGTTCTTGGGTCACACCATTGATAATTTCTAAGAAACCGTGAAAATACCAGCGTGAGAACTTATAATAAAAGAATATCATCACCCCCCCCCCAAAAAAAAATGATGGAAGTATGTTCTTACTAACCACCAGACAGAGCTGGTCTACTTCCCTCCAACCCTGTCCAGGGCTGGCCTGGTTGGGCCACAGTCCCCAGCTGCCCCCTGGTGGTGACCCAGAGCCCTCGAGCTCCCCGTGCCTATGGGCACCTTTCTTCTGGAACTTACGTGGGAGGCAAGGCCCCCTGTCTGCACCCCCATCCCTTGGGCCAGGCTCTGCACAGCTCACCTGAGACAAGCTCTCAGCCTCCTTCCCTTGCAGGTGACCACAGCTGCCTGGGAGGCCTCCCACAGTGAGCGCTTGGCGATCAGTAGCGGAGAGCCACTAACAGTGACCTTGGAAGACGCTTGTTGCTCTTCTGGTTTGGTTCTGGGTCCTCAGGCTCAAATCAGGCATGTGATCCCGAGCACAACTTCCCACTTGGTCAGAAATGACCTTTGGGACTTGGCTGACCAGTTCCCAGAAGATCTGGCCTTGAAGCTGGTCGCTTTGCCACTTCTTAGCTCTGTGACCTGAGGCAATATCTCTAAAACTCAGTTTCATGGCAAAATGGACTCTCTGAGCTTTGCCTCTAGAAAAGACTTGAGGGCAGTGAACATCAAAGCTCTCAGTAGGTGGCTGGTGCTCCTGTGTCCCTGGGCCAGAGCCCCTCAGGGTCCCCCTTCCCAGGGAGACAGTGCTCACGCTGCCACACAGCCGTGCCTCCCTCCCCTGGTGGCTTCTGTGGGTGCAGCCCTTAGGTGCAGCCCGAGAAGCCTGAGATCACCGTGTCACAGTATTCCTGTCCTCCCCCAGGTTCCTGCCTGAATCCCAGCTTGGGGGCGCACCGCTGCCTGCAGCCACCTCCGACCCAGCGCCCCATCACCATGCACTCCTTGGACGAGCCGCTCGACCTGAAGCTGAGCATCACCAAGCTCCGGGCGGCAAGAGAAAAGCGGGAGAGGACGCTGAGTGTGGTCCGGCACCGAGCTCTGCACAGGGAGCTCGGCTTGGTGGATGACAGCCCCACCCCGGGCTCTCCGGGCTCCCCGCCCTCAGGTACAGAACCCCTGGCAGGGCAGGGGGTCTCCGGCCCCGATGGAGCCATGGCAATGGGAAGAACGTCCAAGGTGTGTCCCCCAGGATGTGAGCAAGCCCCTCGCAGCTTTCAGCTTAGAGCTAGAGCTCTGTCCATTTATCCTCCCAGCAGTTTGTCTCTGGAGGTGACACTGTCCCTGGGGGGAGGCAACTGACCTACCCAGTCCATGAAGCTGGCACAGCAGAGCCAGGATTCAAACTAGGCCTCGGGGAGGACATGGAGGAGCTGGTAAGGGGGAGCAGGGGATACCAAGGCCCTGTGACCGACTCCTGGGCTTTGAGGCAGCGTGGCTGGTCAGTCAAGTCCGTGCAGATTGGGGACTGAGCCCAGAGAAGTGCTTCTTGGGGGTGCTTGGGGCTCTGGACTTCCACTCTGCCTGCCCAGGACCCACCTGACAACCAGACCCACCACGTCTGAGCTAGAAGGCTCTGGAAGCAACGTGGCCCAAACCCCTCTTATAGAAGGGCGCAGAGAGGCAGGAAGAGGCCCAGGAGAGGTCAGAAAGGTCCCCAGCTGGCAGGGTGACAGCAGGCCAGGAGCCTGGCTTCAAGCTCCTGTTCAGTGGGTACTTCCCACTCACGGGCTTACCCAGCGGCTGAGCTCTCCTGGTGGCGAAGGCCACACTCTCAGCTGTGCAGGCTGCTGCTCAGATGCTTGGGGTCCCAGGGTGGTCTGGCGGTGTGGCTGGTATCTGCTTCCAGGGTCACGGTGGGGGATTCGGAGACTCCCGATCTAGTACCCCTGAAGAATGCTTCTCCCTTAGGCTTCCTGCTGAACCCCAAGTTCCCCGAGAAGGTAGAAGGACGTTTTTCGGCGGCCCCTCTGGTGGACCTCAGCTTGTCACCGCCGTCCGGGCTGGACTCTCCCAATGGCAGCAGCTCGCTGTCCCCTGAGCGCCAGGGCAACGGAGACCTGCCTGCAGTGCCTGCTGCCCCGGTAAGGAGGGCGTGAGGGTTCTGGAAAGATTTGTACTGGTCTCCTGGAAAGGACTACAAACTGGGTGACTTAGAACAATAGAAATGTATTATTCTGTCGCAGTTCTGGAAGCTAAAGTCTGAAATCAAGGTATTGACAGGGCTGTGCTCCCTCCGAAGGCTCTGGGCAAGAATCTTTACTTGCTTCTTTACAGCTTCTGGTGGCTCCCGGTGTCCCCTGCCTTGTAGCTGTGTCATTCCAATCTCTGCCTCTGGTGCTACTTTGCCTTCTTCCTCTGTTGTTTATTTCTGAGTTCAAATCTCCCTTTCTCTTATGAAGACACCCGTCACTGGATTTAGTTCTCCCCAATCCAGTATGATCTTTCTTTCTTTTTTTTTTTTCCTTTTTGAGAGGGAGAGAGAGAAAGAGAGTGAGCAGAGGTGGGGGTAGAGAGAGAGGGAGAGAATGGGGGTGGGGGACAGAGGGAGAGGGAGAGAGGGAATCTTAATAAGCAGGCTCTATGCCCAGTGCGGAGCCCAAGCTGGATTTGATCTCACAACCCTGAGATCGTGACCTGAGCTAAAATCAAGAGTCAGATGCTTAGCCGACTGAGTCACCCCAGCGCCCCCAGTATGACTTAACTTGATTGCATCTACAGACACCCTATTTCCAACTAGGCTCATAGTCACAGGTACAGGGGGTTGGAACTGGGACAACTCAACCTGCCACAGAAGGAGACAGAGCAGGTGTGGGCCTGCTGGCCCAGCGGGGAGCACTAGCCCACTCTGCCTTCTCCCTGCCCCCCCAGGACTTCCAGCCTCTGCGTTATCTGGATGGCATCCCCAGTTCCTTCCAGTTCTTCCTGCCTCTGGGCTCCGGGGGGGCCCTGCATCTGCCTGCTTCCTCCTTCCTTACCGCCCCCAAGGACAAGTGCCTCTCACCAGAGCTCCCCCTGCCCAAACAGCTGGTGTGTCGCTGGGCCAAGGTGAGTGGGGGGGCCAGGAAGATGGGGGTCGGGGCTGGGGTAGGCAGCCCCACGCAGACTCAGAACGCTCCCAGGCTGGGGTGGGCGGCCCCACGCAGACTCAGAACACTCCCTGGCCCCGTAGTGTAACCAGCTCTTCGAGCTCCTCCAAGACCTGGTGGATCATGTCAACGACCACCACGTCAAGCCCGAGAAGGACGCGGGGTACTGCTGCCACTGGGAGGGCTGTGCCCGCCACGGACGAGGCTTCAATGCTAGGTGAGGGGGAGCGAGGGGGGTGCTGGGGAGGAGCGGGAGGGGGCTTGGGTGTCCGGCGAGCGGCGTCGAGCTCCCCTGTGGCCTCCCGGGAGCAGGTACAAGATGCTCATCCACATCCGCACACACACCAACGAGAAGCCGCACCGCTGCCCGACCTGCAGCAAGAGCTTCTCCCGCCTGGAGAATCTGAAGATCCACAACCGCTCGCACACAGGTGAGCAGCCGGGAGGGGGCACGGTGCGAGGGGAAGCCTCTCGGGGGGGTGCGATCCTCGGATCCATCTTCTGTGTGGCCCCGGCACCCTCCTCAGCGTGACCATCCACTGGGTGCCGCCCACTAGGCGGCGCTCACTGCCGACCGCAGGCGCTGGCGACAGAGCCACACACCTAATTTTAAACTTCCTCATCGCCAAAAAATAAGAGGTCCTAATTGCTGCATTGAAGAAAGGACAAAGGAATAGGTGAGATGAATGGTAACGAAATTCCTTCAATCAGATGTATTAAAAAGCCAGCAGTGACACACTGGAGTTAATTCTGTACGAAGTCTGGGAGCGCAGTCTGCCGCGTACCCTTCCCCTCACACAGCACATCTCGCTGCGGGCCAGCCGCAGGTCAAGGGCGCCCCGCCTGGAGCAGCTACCAGACATGGGGTCAATCTGGAGGCATTCTGCTGCGCCAGGACCAAATCCAGCGTACAGGGCATTCTGCAGTGCTCACTGTGGGCCCCCAGGGCCCCCTGCATCTAAGCAGATCTGCAGTCCTGCCTGTCGAAGTGATCACTGTCATCCCCAATTTAGAGCACAGGACTAAGGCCAAAGGCACACACATAGGCCACAGCAGAGCGGGGGGTGATCAGGCCAGCTTCTCCGTGGCCATGCCCTGCTGTCTGCACCTGGGATCAGATCTCGTGCCAGTGCTGGGGACACTGCCCCTTCCATCGGACAGTTGGTGCTCTCGGGGGGACCGCGGTCTAGGGTGAAGGTCCTGGGGCCGCCCTGTGTGCACAGAGGCCCCTCATGCCTGCCCCGCCCCACAGGTGAGAAGCCCTACGTCTGCCCCTACGAGGGCTGCAACAAGCGCTACTCCAACTCCAGCGACCGCTTCAAGCACACGCGCACCCACTATGTGGACAAGCCCTACTACTGCAAGATGCCCGGCTGCCACAAGCGCTACACGGACCCCAGCTCGCTGCGCAAGCACATCAAGGCCCACGGCCACTTCGTGTCTCCTGAGCAGCAAGAGCTCCTGCAACTGCGCCCGCCCCCCAAGCCACCACTGCCCACCCCTGACGGCAGCCCCTACGTCAGCGGAGCCCAGATCATCATCCCCAACCCTGCTGCCCTCTTCGGAGGCCCCAGCCTGCCCGGCCTGCCCCTGCCCCTGGCCCCCGGCCCCCTTGACCTCAGTGCCCTAGCCTGTGGCAATGGCGGGGGTGGTGGGGGGCCGGGCGGCATGGGCCCTGGGCTGCCAGGCCCTGTCTTGCCCCTCAATCTGGCTAAGAACCCGCTGCTGCCCTCACCCTTTGGGGCTGGTGGACTGGGCCTGCCTGTGGTCTCCCTCCTCGCTGGCTCCGCTGGCGGCAAGGCTGAGGGGGAGAAGGGGCGTGGGGCAGTGCCAGCCAGGTCTCTGGGCATGGAGGGCCGCAAGACGCCCCTGGAGAGGACTGAGAGCAGCCGCTCCCGGCCAAGCCCTGACGGACTCCCCCTGCTGCCAGGCACTGCGCTGGACCTGTCCACAGGCGTCGGCTCGGCAGCCAGCAGCCCGGAGGCACTCGCCCCTGGTTGGGTGGTCATTCCGCCGGGCTCTGTGCTGCTCAAGCCAGCCGTGGTGAACTGAACCTGCCTGCTGGACGGCTACCCGCAGCCCGGCTAGCAGCTCCCAACCCTGCCCCCGACGAACGGAAACTTTTCTGCGAAATAGCAATAATGTCCTCCTGCCCCCGGGGCCTGGTTGGCTGGGTCCCCCAGGCAGACCCAGCCCCAGACAAGCTAGGCAGCAAGGATGGTGCTAGAAGGTCATTGGTGGTGTCCCAGGCTCCGGAACAGGGGCTGGTGCTGCCAGCCAGGGTGAGCCGTGCTCCTGGGTGCTAAGGCCTCACTCGCCTCCTGCCCTGCCCTCCACTTAGCCCTCAGTCTCCCAGGCTACCCTCCCCCGCCCCGTGCCTCCCTCATCCATTCACCAGCCTGGGTAGGTCATCCTCCCTCCCTGCCTTGCCTACCTGCCAGCCATGTCCCCATCCTGCCTAGCCTCTCTGGGCCCCTGTTCTTGGGGCTTCTTGACCCCTTTCCCTCTGGCCCACCCTCCAGAGGGAGAGCAAGACAGACGCAGGCAAAGCCACAGGAAGAAGCCACCTTATCCCTATGACAAGGCGCCTCCAAACTCAGAGAGGGAGGCCCGCTCTGCCAGCTGCCCCTCACTACTAGCCCGTCCAAAAATAGCCAGCACTACCTGAGGCTCGGCCCCTTCCCTGGGCTGGATGCTGTCCACAGTGAGGGGACTGCTGACCACTCACCTGCCCCTTCACTGCTGGGCCTTCTCCCTCTACTTTCAGGGAGCCCTGGGAGCGTGGGCAGTGGAGCCCTGAGCGAGGAAGGGAGATGCCAGGACGCCAGGCCCTCGCTTGGCTCAGGGAACAGGTGGGGCAGGGCTTGGCTTAGGGTAGTGCCGCTCTGCACAAGGGACTATGGGGGTTTGCAGGGTGTCAGGAGGTGGGAGGCTGGCCAGGGACAACCCCAGGCTGGGACACAGCTCCTATTCTGGGGGTGTCAAGTCACAGCCAAGCACATAGGGGAGGTAGGGCTCCAGGCCAGTGCTGGGCATGGGAGCTCTCCAGAGGCCATGGACTGAAAGCCCTGGGCTTGGGGGTGGAGAAGCAAACAAGGATGGCCATAGGAGTGCCCAAGCCCTCTGCCTGGGAAGGGGAAGCTAGAGGAAGGAGCCTGGATTTAAGACATGGTTGTGTCTGTTGGCTATTTCCCAGAGCCTCTGTCTTAGAGGTGTCCCCACCCCTGCCCACCACCTCCCCCATGGCATGGACCAGAATAAGCTAAGGATGCTGGTGCTCCATGTGCCCCACAGCCCACTGCCCGATCCCACCAGGCCTCGGGGCCCCGGCAGATGCTTCCCCTCACCCTGAGCCCTCGCTGCTCCCTCTCTGGAGGTGGCCTGGTGCCGCCTGGGAGGCGCTGGCCCAGCAGCCAGGACTCCTGGCCCCTCAGCCACATGACCAAGCACTCCGTTTCCCCTGCTGTAGAACTGGAGGCTGTGGGCCAGCAGGGGGTGCTCAGCAGCCCTGCGGACTCTACCCTCTCCCAACTGCCCTTCTGTCCTAGAGGGGGTGCCCTAACAGGGCCTGGCAGTGCTGGCTCTGCCCCTTGAAGGGGCTGTGAGCAGAACAGGAGGGAGCTGGTCTCCTTTCCTCAGGCCCCACACAGGACCCTGGCCTTAAGTCCCCAGCTGGGGGCCAGGGCTCTGAGACTCAAGCCCAGGGAGCAGAGGAACAGGGCACTGGAAGGTGACGTTAGCTCAGCATGTGACTTGGTGATAGACCAGGCTCGAAAGGGCTGGTGTACGTGTTGTTGTTGTGGGTTTGTTGTTGCACATTCCAGGATATCAGTATTTTAACAGGTTCTAAGTGCCTTTCTATCGTAGCTTATGTTTTTCCTCCTCTTGGCTCCATTGCTGTTAGCATAGAGTTTAAAAAAAAAAAAGAGATAAGCTAATGACTATAACAATATATTCCTCCATGTGAGAGGAAGTTTATAAAGAAACAATAAAAGTGAGTTGCAAAGATGGTTTCTGTCTTGGCTATGCCACGAGTGGAGCCTCCCTGCTTGAGAACTCTGACCAACCGTCTTATGCCTGGCCTGGGTCTCCTACCCCTAGCAGGGAGCACCCAGAGACCCCATTCCAGGGCTTCCTTCCAACCCTGCGGCTGCCACTACTGCCAGGTCTACTGCTGGGAGCTGGGAGGGGGCAAGTGCTGAGGGAGCAGAGAGAAGATTCTGGATAAGTATCATGGGTTCAGGTCCTCACCCTGCCACTACCTGCTGTGACTTTGGTGAGCGAAGCCTTCGTTCTGAGGGAGACACAACTCCCTGGCCTCGGTCCAATGAGAGTCTGGTGAAGGCTTCTCTTTCCTGGCGGCACTGGAACATTCCACCCAGATTCCAGAGATGCTAGCGTGAAACCCTGCTCAGGGAGAAGCGGCCTGTGGCAGAGCCGGGGGTGCACGGCTCTGTACCTCCTGGGAAGGGTGAGGGAGACCTAAGGACACTGATGCTGCAGGAGGGGCCTGGCACCAGGAGGGCAGGACTGGCTGGAATCTGGATGTGTGCATTGAGAAATGCAGAAAGGACATTTATTACCAAACTATAAATTAAAGGAGGTGGGTAGGGTGCAGTGGGGCGAGCTGAGCGGTCACGTTTTGGGCATCTGCTCCTTCTCTCTGTTCTCCTGGGCCTGGATCCTGAGCTCCTCCTGCAGGCGCTCCCAGGCTCGGACCACCTGGGGAAGGAATTAGAACCAGGCAGGACAGTGAGTGGGATGGACCTCTGCCCTTCCCAGGCCCCGCACAGCAGCGGGCATGTCTAAGCTAACAGCTTGGGAAACACAAGTGCTTCCTTTATCAGTGCCCAGCACTCCCAGGGGGGACAGGGCCCAGGCACACCCTGCTGTCTATCAGCTAGTGGTCCTGTTCCCTCAAAGCCATGGCTGCTGGGAGGGCCACTGTCCGGGTGACACAGGGCCCAGGCAATTCAGCCCAAGCGGCTAGGCCCCATGGAGCTGAGGCAGCTGGAGGGAATGGCAGTTTAGGGGATACTCCCTGAGGCTAGGGCACCAAGGAAGGGCCCGGCACAACTTCCTGCCTGCCAAGTTCTGAACTGCCTAGAAATGAGGGGCCCCAGTGAGAAGAGGCCCCCTTGCGTGCCCTCCTCCCAGCATCGAAGAGCACCCACCTTGGACTGCAGGTAGAAGGAGCCACCCACGGACTTATCATTCACCTTGAATAGGTGTTCGTAGTTCTGCAGAGGAGGGGAGACGGTGAGAGGGTGTGCGGTGTCTGGGTTACAGAGGCAGGGGAAGCTGGGAAATGACAAAGAAGGAAAGCCAGAGGGTTCAACCCTGACGCCCCAAGTGTCCCCCTATGCAACCCCGGAAGCCACTGTCACTGCTAGGGGACAGAGAAGTGGACAGGTGCCCACAGGGGGAAGGAGTTCTGTGCCACTGCCTGCTTTGGGCCTAAAAATGGAGTGACAAGCAGCTCCCACTACTTGGGGTCCAAGCTGGCTGCAGCCACAGCCTCCACACCCGCCTCTTTCTGCCGGGCCACCTTCACTCCTCCTGATCCTGGTGGCCCGGCCCCTCAGCCCGCCATTCTGGTCTGCCCAGGCAAGACCCACCTCCGAGCCAGCCTGGCAGTCTCACCTTCTGGATCTCCTCAGGGCTCAGCTTGGAGACATTGAGAATCTGCTGGGCCTCCTGGAGGCTGAGGCCGGACAGGTTAGAAGCAGCTGCAGACTGGTGTCCAGCACGTCCTCGCGCATCAGCTGCCGCCCGGCTGGCTGTGTGGACACACTGGTGAGTGCTCAGCCCTCAGAGGCCCAAGGGTTCCCTTGAGCCTTCCACGTAGGCAGCACAGCCTGCCAGTTGGCATGGGAGAAGACACGCGCAGGAACGGGGTACACCCCTCTCCAGGAGTGGATATTTTGGGAGGGTGGGTTGGGAATTTTTGAAGTGAAGACTGAGCCCACTGGAGGACAGGGACAGGTTCTGGTCCCCAACCCTGGTACCTGGTGCCAACCAAGACCATGAGATGGCCCTGTCCCTCCCCTCTCCCCTGACCCCTCATCCCAAGTGACAGCAAGTTGGGGAGCTTTAGGCTACAATGGGAAGCAGGACGAAGCTGTAAGGAGGAAGAGGTAATAACAGCTCAGGTGAGACCTGGCCGCCCACCAGTTACCTAGACGGCAAAGCAAGTGGCTCAGGTGACCTTTTCCATTTCAGTGACCCTAGAATCAGAAGCCACCAAACTTTTTCTTAAAGGGTCAAAGAATAAACGTTTTAGGCTTGGCAGAGCAATTAGAGTCTGTGTTGCAATTACGTGACTTTGTCTTGTAAGCAACCAGAGGGTAGGGCTGTGTTCCAGTAAAACTGTTTACAAAAACAGGTGGCCAGGTGAGCCAGCTTGCCACCTCCTGCCTCCACGTTCACGTCAACCAAGTTTCCCTTTCTTTTTTTTTTTTAAAGATTTTATTTATTTTTATTTATTTGACAGACGGAGATCACAAGTAGGCAGAGAGGCAGGCAGAGAGAGAGGAGGAAGCAGGCTCCCTGCTGAGCAGAGAGCCCGATGCAGGGCTCGATCCCAGGACCCTGAGATCACGACCTGAGCCGAAGGCAGAGGCTTTAACCCACTGAGCCACCCAGCCGCCCCCCAAGTTTCCCTTTCATGAGAATGTCCCAAAATCCAATGATGTCCCCCATCCCCGGGAAATGCCCCAGGCTGCTGAGGTCCCTGCATTCACTGTGGGCCCGTGGTGAGCGGCCACAGACGGGAAAATGTGACCTGGGCAGGAGCGGCCAGCACCCCCCAGCCTTACCTGCAAACTCCTGCCGCAGCGCTCGTGCGAAGGCCCTGCCCACCACCTGCGCCCCCATCACAATGATCTGGGCCAGGTACCTGGCCTGTGGACAAAGCAGGGACCTGGTTAGCAGGCTGCATTCTAGAGATGGGACCCTGGAAAAGGCTTCCGAGTGACAAGGTCTCGGAGGTGATGAAGCACAGAGCAGCAGTCACAGGTGACTTGTTCCAAATACCCTGAGAAAGAGCCTCTGCTCTGGGTGGTTCAGGGGCTCACCGGACAGACGGCTGGGGGTGAACCCGAGGGAGTCCCCAGGGACAGACAGGAAGCCCCCCGCCCCCCACCAACGGCCTTCACACAGGAGGGGAGGAGCTGAGGTGATGGGGCTGCAGGGCCCAGAGGCTGTGCCCAGACCATTAACTCGCCCTGCACGTCCCTTCTGAGCTCCCGAGACTGGCAGCTCCCACCTCTGTTCAACCAGCCGGGAGCCACCTCGGTTCCCAAGACTAGTGACCACCCTTCCAATCAA